CGCGGCGGGGCTGGGGGTCCCCGCCGCCCGCGTCCTCTGGGGCGAGAAAAACCCCGTTCGTAAGTACAGATCCGACGTATGTCAGAGCCGCGTAGCCCCGGGGACTGCCTGTAGTCTTCTGGTTATCAAGTGGTTCAATCTGTATGAACAGCCACAATGAATGAGTGCTGAAAGGATCTGTTCTACCCAACAGAGCAAGGCCTGTCAATACATTATTGCAAGTTAGACTGTAAATTACTGAAGGCAAATACCAGATCTCCCTACCTGACTGATCCCAGATGAGAGATTTTGCCAGACCAGAGAGGCCATTACTGGCCCCTCTGTTGATGCCCTGCTCCCTGCCCCCGCCAGGGCTTCCTGGCTCCCCCTGGGCAGCCCAGCTGGGTTGTGCATCTGGCTTCCCTCCTCCCCATGCAACTCAGCTGGGCCATCCCTCCACCCCCACCTACAGTATGCTGGGAACTCTGATCATGAAACATCTGTGGTCTGGACCATAGATGTTATTGAACCAGAGAATTCCGGTTTATAGAGGCACAACCAATAATAAATAAATAAATAAATAAATAAAGATTTCCCCTTGTTTGTTCCATTTATCCAAAACACGAGTCATAAAGGAAAAAACAGCTAGAAATGCATCTATTCTTTGTGAACTAATGGAGGGGGATCATTTCTTTTTTTTTACAGGGAAATGCGTGGCACAGAGTCAGTATGAAAACTTCCAGATATATCCTAGAACAGATTTAGAATCAAACTTACCCAAGCTGTGTGCCACTGGCGACAACTTTTTCAGTGCGTAAGAGATCATTTTCTGTGGCTGCTGCCATAGCTGCAGTCAATGCCATCTTCTTCCCACCTGTTTCTGCACTACGACTGGTCATTACGGTTGCCTGGGGAATTTCCCTTGTGGACTGAGTGTTTCTGAAGGTATTTTGTTGCCAGCTGGTCTTCAAAGACTGCCTGTTCTGAAATCCAGCGTGGGAAAGAAATGGTGATCTGACTTGTCCCACAGCACTACCATTAGTCAGGTAGTTCTCTTTCTCCAAGAGGTTGGTCATACTGCGACTGTTCCCCACTTGTGGGTACATAACTACAGCTGGGCTGCTGGGGGCACTGTCAAAGACTGTGTCATTAAAAGACCCTAGATGGAAATGGGTTTGATACATCTGCTCTTTGATTGCAGAATCATGATTACTGGGACCAACAATATCAGAACGAGCATATCTTGGTGGAACACTAACATTGGATCTCCTGCTATCACCAGGCCTCCGAGAGAATCCCCTGTTGTAGTGGAAATCATTGTATACCAGCTTCTCGGGACCTTTCTGGGGAGAAACTTCTAATCTCTTCAGAGGCTGCCTTTGATACTTCTCTTCCATTGTCTTGTAAGAAGTATATTGTGGGGCTCCAGTCCCCCATCTATTTCTGTAAGAGCCTGGTGAGGCCACCTGAAGCAAAAAGGGACAAGAGTCATCATAAGAACAGAGCTTTTTTGTTTTCTTAATTATTCTGTGATAAGTTGCGTGGATAACATTTTTGCCACTTGCTAGTAGAAAGTAGAACAGTACGATCAAAGGTGGACTGCAGACAAACATGCTGATGAAAATAAATAGGGTTTATTGCACTTCTTCATGAACCTCCCATTGAAACTAGGAGGGAGTGCATTCTGGCTCCTAAGCACTATGGGCTAGACTTCAGGATACCTAGGTTCTAATCCCTGCTCTGCCACCAACTCAAAGTGTGATCCTGTACAAGTCACTAAACATAAGATACTCAAAAGGGCCTCTACATTCTGGGTCATCTCTGTTTTAGGTGTTCAACTGGTGTGACGTAGTGGGGGTACTTGCTGGGCTGTGGTGACCCCTGCTGTCTGGAGCAAGACCCAGCAGGGAAAGCCTCACTAGGCCAAGGTAATGCCAAACTTGTTGAACCAGTGGCCAGACACCCCCCATGGAGAGGAACAAAGGAAGGTGGAATGCTGCCCTGGCTGGGGGGCAGGGCTGGAAGAGGGTTAGTTGGTTGCTGGCTGTCTGAGAGCATGGAGGAGACAGCCTAGGGGAAGGGGCTGGAGTTTAGGGGCCCAGTCTCCCCCAACTCAAGGGGGCCTGAGGTATCCTAGCCCAGCTCTGTGACCAGATTACATCTGTGCTGTGCTGTATCCTGGAGAGGCAATAAACTTCCTCTATTCCACCAGCTGGTGGAGTCTGTTTGTGCCATTTCGGGGTGCAGGAGACGGGGAACCCCCAACGCGCCATCACAACTGGACACACCCAAAGTTTGATCTGCAAACACACTGAACACAAAAATCTCCAAAACTGAAGTTAAGTGTCTGAAAAGGCTCTGAGACCCTCAGACAGATGAAAAATGTTATGTCGACAAGGAGCATTATTAACAATACTGTAACTGGGCTTGTACATGAAGTCAGCTTATCTGACCTTGAGTGATGAACAACTTTCCTGGCCTCAATGGGCACACTGGCAACTTGTTGCAATCCACAAACTACACCTTATTTACATGTATGTGCATTCAAAAATTAACGTGATGTATGAATGTAGGGTGCAAGCCATCGCAGCTAGGGGCCAGACTGCATACTGCTTGCTCTCACTGGGGAGGAGCTCCATGCAGGGGCAGTCTTAGCCGTGGAAGGAAGGGGTGCACAATCCAGCTGTGGGACCAGGACAGGCTCATGAGGTTGGTTGCATTTGTTTATCTAGGAGATGTACACAGCAATCCCCATTTTCTGGACTGAAAGGGAAGAAGGCAGGTAACCCTAGCTTGCACCTCTTTCTATGCATCACCATTTCACTAGAAGGGCAGAGGTGCATAAATAAGGGCAATGGAGAAATTGTGGGGGAGGGGGAGGATGCATCATTTCAGGAGTCACTTGGCACTGGGAAGTTACAAGGCCTTTTCTCATGGCAGCCACTCCTCCCAGTTCTTCCACTTCCACCTTCAAAACTATGACATCTCCCCGAGGTTCATGTAATACCTCCAGTTCCCACCCTCACTGCACCCTTCTTTCTAAGTTTTGTAATGTGGAGTACAACCCATTTCAAATGTTTTCAAATTGAGTGGTGAGAGAGCATAAAGGTAGCCATGAGGCAGTTGCAGTTATGCAATTGGTTGTGAAGATATGCGAAGAGGGTAAATAGACTCAGAAAAACAAAATATAATTGTATGTGGTGGTGCTTTTAAAGCTCCATGTGGCCATTAAGCCTGTATGACAAAACCACCCCAGTAGAAATTCTTGTGTTTTGCAAAGTTTAAAGAGATTACAAGGTGAACACGTACCATTATAGAAAAAAAAAAAAATCAAGCCACTGTGTGTGGCAGCAAATAAAGATATGAATTTGCAATTCTACAAATTTCCAGTTATTCCCTGCGTTTTTCTCACCTGAACAGATTGATAATATGTGACTCCTTGTGGAGGTCTTGAAAAATCAACTGTGTCCAGGTTATAAACATTTTCTGGAACACTGATGGCCCGATGGAGACTGCCTAGAATTGAAACAAGACTAATGTAAGCACGATCTTAAGGAAACAATATTTTATAATAAAAGGACAATATACATCCAGCCTGTGACGCTAATAATACACACACTAGTTGGAGAGTGAACAAGGAGAAACGGAAAAGGTGTTAGGTATTCACTATATTATGTTCAGGTAGTGCATAAGCAATGTTCTCTGATAGCAGAAACTCACAAGAGGAGAAGCAATTCTTGGTTTAGTCCTAATTGGAGCACATGATCTGGTCCAAGAACTGATTATAGCTCGACTGCTTGGTAATAGTGACCATAAGATAATGAAATGTAAACATCTGTCTGCTGGAAAAACACCACAACAGCTCAATACTGTGTGTACGTCTAGACTGCAGGCTTCTTTTGAATCCACACAGCCAAAGTGCATCGAAAAAGCAATCTGCTTTTTTGAAAGATAGCGTACACACTGAATGGACGCTATCTCGCATTTAAGCTGTAATTACTATGGACGGAGTGGCCACCAGGGCACCTGTGCTTTTTTCTGGAGGCCTCTTCTTTCGAAAAAAATCCCTCTTCCGCATCCACACACACCTTTTTCCAAAAGAGCTCTTTCAGAAAAAGTGTTCTTCCTTGCAGAATTAGATTTACCAATGTCAGAAAAACCCCTGTGTTCTTTCAGTTTTCTTTCAAAAGAACACAATAGCAATGTTGACGTAACTGGAGTTTTTTTGGAAAAATGGCCGTCGTTTTTTTTCCCCAAAAAACCCCTGCAGTCTAAACACACCCTGTAGCATTTAATTTCAGAAAAGGAGGACTACTAAAAAATGAGGAAGTTAGTTTAACAGAAATTAAAAGGTACAGTGCTAAAAGTGAAATCCCTGGAACTACAGTACATGGAAACTATTTAAAAAGACACCCAAATGTATACCCAAATTAAAAACACACACACAATAAGAGAACCAAAAGTGTGCCATCATGGCTAAACAACAAATAAAAGAAACAGTAAGAAACAAGAAGGCATCCTTTAAATAGAGTAAGTTAAATCCCAGTAAGGAAAAAAGAAAGGAGTAAAATTTGTAAATGAAATGTAAAAATATAATTAGGAAAGCCAAAAAAGAATTTGAAGAACAGTTAGGCAAAGACTCAAAAAGTGATAGCAAAAATGTTAAGTACATCAGAAGCAAGTAGTCTGCTCAATAACAAGGGGAGCACTGGATGATTGAGGTGTTAAAGGAGCACTCACGGACAATAAAGTAATTGCAGAGAAACTCAATGAATCTTTGCATTAGTCTTCACGGCTGAGAATGTGAGGGACATTTCCAAACTTGAGCCATTCTTTTTAGGTGACAAATCTGAGGATCTGTCCTAGATTGAGGAGTCATTAGAGGAGGTTTTGGAACAAACTGATGAACTAAACCATAATATGCCACTAGGACCAGATGGCATTCACCCAAGAGTTCTGAAGGAACTCAGATGGTGAGGCTGCAGAACTATTAAATGCAGTTTGTAACCAATTCTTTAAATCAGTTTGCCCTTGTCTACTCTAGGGGATACATTTGAATTAAGATTCACATCTTCAGCTACGTTAATTGTGTAGCTTGAGTCGAAGTATCAACTCGAATTTTGGTGCTATACGCACTGCAGGAAGTTGAAGGGAGCATACTCTCCCTTCAACTTCCCTTTCTCCGCACAGAAACAGGACTACCGGTATCGACGGGAGTGCCCTCTCAGTTCAAATTAGTATGTTTTCACTAGATCCACTAATTCGAACCTCGATCGAATGTGGTTGCTTCAATCTTATCTGTGGTGTACACAGAGCCTTCCTGTACCAAATGACTGGAAGATAGTTAATATGATAGCTTTAAAAAGGGTTCCAGAGGTGACCGCAGCAATTACAGGCAGCAATTTCAGTATCTGGCAAGCTGGTTGAAACTATAGTAAAGAACAAAATTTTCAGACACATATATGGACATAATTTTGGGGGGAAGAGTCAACCTGTTTTTTGTCAAAGGAAATTGTGCCTCACCAATCTACTAGAATTTTCTGAGGTGGTCAACAAGCATGTGGACAAGGAGGATTCAGTGGATACTAGGGATGTAACAGTGTAGTCAATTATCTGATAAGCAAAAGCTTATACGTAAATCCTAGAGACTATACACATTCCCTCCTCCACCCCACCCCTCCTCCGCTAGCACATTTTTTTAGCAGTCTGGCCAGCAACCTGGCTCAGTCCTGGCTACACTGAGTCCGGGACTTACTCCCACTACAGTTCTGCATTTAATGTGTATTAGGAGCCAGGCAGGCAGGCAGCCCAGCTCAGTTCTGGCTCCTGCTGGGTCCAGGAGCTCAGACCCCCCTCTGGACAGGGGCTGCTGTCACCTCTGAATCAGAGGCAGCAGCGCAGGGCGACAGTTTTTAAACTGGCTCCCCTCAAGGACCAGCTCCTGTGTGGCACCCCAAGCTTCTGCCTCTGATACCTGCCCCCACCCCCAGGTACTTTAGAATAGTCAATTAACCTATAAGAATTCATGAGGCTACTCGACTATTCAATTAACCAATATTTAACATTCCTGGTGAATACAGTATATTTAGACTTTTAGAAAACCTTTGATAAGGTCCCTCTCCAAAGGCTCTTAAGCAAAATAAACTGCCATTAGTTAAGATGGCAGATCCTCTAACGGATTGATAACAGGTTAAAACTAGAAAACAAAGAGTACAAATTGTCAATTTTCAGAATAGAGAGAGGTAAATAGCGGTGCCTCTCAGGGGTCTGTACTGGGTTCAGTCCTAGTAAACACTCATAAACAATCTGGAAAAAGAGGTAAACTCTGTAAGGTGACAAAATCTGCAGATGATACAAAACTTCTCAAGATAGCTAAGTCCCAAGCAGACTGTGGAGAGATACAAAAGACTCTCACAAAACTAGATGACAGGGCAATAAAATGGCACATGAAATTCAATGATGATAAATGCAAAGTAATGTACATTGGACTACATAACCACAGCTATACATATAAAATGATGGGGTCTAAATGAGCTGTTACCACTTAAGAAAGAGATCTTGGTGTCACTGTAGATAGTTCTCTGAAAATATCAATTCAGTGTGCAATGGCAGTCAAAACAACAAACAGAATGTTTTGAATCATTAGGAAAGGAATAGATAAGATGGAAAATATCATAGGGTATGTCTACACTAGCCCCCTAGTTCGAACTAGGTAGGCTAATGTAGGCATTCGAAGTTGCAAATGAAGCCCGGGATTTAAATATCCCGGGCTTTATTTGCATCTTCCCATCCGGGCGTCATTTTTAAATCCCCTTAGTCTGAACTAACTGCCTGCGGCTACACTAAGGACTGAGTTCGAGTTAACATTTGACTGCCGCGTGTAGCTGCGGGCAGTTAGTTCGGACTAAAGAGATTTAAAAATGGCGCCTGCCCAGAAACATGCAAATGAAGCCCGGGATATTTAAATCCCGGGCTTCATTTGCAACTTCGAATGCCTACATTAGCCTACCTAGTTCGAACTAGGGGGCTAGTGTAGACATAGCCATATTGCTGCTATCTCAATTTATGGTATGCCCACATCTTGAATACTGCATGCAGATGTGGTCACCCCATCTCAAAAGATATACTGGAACTGGAAAAGCTTCAGAAAAGGGCAACAAAAATCATTAGGGGTATGGAACAGCTTTTGTATGAAGAAAGGTAAGACTGGGATTTTTCAGCTTGGAAAAGAGATGACTAAGGGAGGATATGATAGCGACCTATAAAATCATGACTGGTGTGGAGAAAGTAAATATGAAGAGTCAATAACAGTTCTTTAACAAATGAACTAGGGGTCATCAACTAAAATTAATAGGCAGCAGGCTTAAAACAAATAAAAGAAAGGGGTATTCCCTTCACACACACTTCACAGTCAACCTGTGGAACTCCTTGGCAGAGGATGTTGTGAAGACCAAGACTGTGTAGCAGGGTTCAAAAAAGATCCAGATAAATTGATGGAGGATAAGTCTATGAATGGCTATTAGTCAGGATGGGATCCCTAATCTCCTTTTGCCAGAAACTGGGAATGGACAACAAGGGATGGTTTACTTGATGATTCCCTGTACTGTTCATTCTCTGTTGGACACCTGGCATTGGTCACTGTCGGAAGACAGGATACTGGGCTACATGGATCTTTGTTCTGTCCCAGTATAGCCATTCTTACATTCTCATGTCATTTTTGTCAGCCTCTCATATTACAGATATTTAAAAATAAAACATGAGATAATTTTTACATCTTAGTTTCTCTTATGGCTAGAAGACAATATAATTACTTCATAAAAGTATTTTGAGAACAAGCCAGATTTTTTTAGAAACATCCTATGTCCTGGTGGATGACTGACTAAAGTATGGGTTCCCAAAATGGGGGGGCATTCCCCCCTGGGGGAGCATGAAGAAATTCCAGAGGGGCATGAGGCGACCCAGCCCTCTCCCCGTCAATCACCCCCCCCCAAGTTTTTCTGCTATTTTTGTTTTTCAGCCCCAGTCAGTTCCCTTTTTTTCCCCCCTCAACAAGTTTTGCTGAGGCGGGGAAGGGGGGTGACTCCTTTCTCTGGCTTCTGTGCTGGACAGAAATATGCTTTTCATCTCCAATGCTTAGCCCTGGTACGTGTAGACAAGGCCTTAGACTTGCAGTTTTGCCAGCTCAAAAATTATGAGTCAAGGCCTCAAAAATCAGAACATTGGCTTAAAAAAGTGAGATTTAACAAAAAATATAAATGAAATCTGAGTGTTTGATATTTGCCTTCTGATTTAAGCACGAGGGTACATCTAGACTACACGCTTCTTTCGAAAGAAGCATTTTCAAAATAATCTTTCGAAAAAGCTTCTTTTGAAAGAGATCGGCTAGACAGCCACCACTTTTTTCGAAAGAGAGCACCCAGGCAATCTGGATGCTCTCTCAACAAAAGATGTTCTTCCTCCTAAAATTCGGTTTACCGCTGTTGAAAAAACTGCTGCATTGTTTTGATTTAATTTTG